TGTACCCCAGGGATAATATCCTGGAAAATGGGATAAAGTCCTGAAAAAAAACAGTCCTGAAAAAATGGCCTGTGTAACCCAGGCTTTGGCATTACTCTTTCACACAATAGGAAGTGTTCTTGAGTTCTCTGAAGGATGAAGTAAGAGAGACTTCAGCTTCATATCCCCAGGAGCATTGCCACCAAACAGAGTTAGCCTATTCTTTACTGCTTTAGAGCCTGGCATCATCTTTTCCTTCTTCCTTACTGATGTAACTTTGGTCTGGCATCCTCTTCCAGGACAGTCCCGTCTCAGTCACATTAAAAGTTGGTTAGGTAAACACATACCTTCATCAGTAATTTCTCAGTGTTTCAGGAAATTCCTAGGCAGTTACCATATCTGCACTTGCTATTTTGCTACTTACTTATGGTTGGCTCTAGCCTTGAACTGGTGAGAACAGTCATGGCTGGCAGGAAAAGATGTGCCCTCTGATTCTTCACCATGTTTCTTCTCCAGATCTTCATAAAAGTTTTTAGCCTTCTCTTGAATCAGCATTAAGCTGAGCAGGACTCGACGCAGGTGCTTATCCTGCACTCACACACCAAGAAGTTTATCCATTTCCTTCATCACTTCCACACTTCTTCAATATTATTGTTGACAGCATTAGCACAGCAGACTTCACATGTTCTATGATCTTGTCCCTGTCCTTTAGAATTGTGCCAGTGGTTGAATGATTCATGTTATAAGAATTAGTGATGTCTACCATCTTTCTGCCTTGCTCCATTCTCAACTATTTTCACTTCTGTTTCCATTGTTATTGCTTGGCACTTCTTAGCAGCACCAGCTACATCACTGCTATTTCACACTTGCTTTTGGACATCCCGGCCTTGAAATACAGATATTGTACTACTGTACTCTATACATACTGTGCAGTAAAGTACACAAAGGCACAGCCACTCATAGAGGATCCCTGCACGTGACAGTGTACACCAGACGCATGACTGTACATGGAGTGCATATTTGCATGTTTGAAAGTTTGCAACATGAAGGTTTGTATGTAGGGGACTTACTGTATGGCATTTCCATTTGACTCGCAAGGCCTTTGACTAAAAACAAACTGTGGAAAATTCTTCAAAAGATGGGACTACCAGACCCCCTGACCTGCCTCCTGAAAAATCTGTATGCAGGTCAAGAAGCCGCAGTTAGAACTGGACATGGAACAATGAACTGGTTCCAAATTGGAAAAGGGGTATGTCAAGGCTGTATATTGTCACCCTGCTTATTTAACTTAAATGCAGAATACATCATGCGAAATGTCAGGCAGGATGAAGCACAAGCTGGAATCAAGATTGCTAGGAGAAATATCAATAACCTCAGATACAGAGATGATACTGCCCTTACGGAAGAAAGTGAAGAGGAGCTAAAGAGCCTCTTGATGAAAGTGAAAGAGGAGAGTGAAAAAGTTGGCTTAAAACTCAACATTCAAAAAACTAATACTATGGCATCCAGTCCCATCACTTCATGGCAAATAGATGGGGAAACAATGGAAACAGTGACAGATTATTTTCTTGGGCTCCAAAATCACTGCAGATGTTGACTACAACCATGAAATTAAAAGACACTTGCTCCTTGGAAGAAAAGCTATGACCAACCTAGACAGCATATTAAAAAGCAGAGACATTGCTTTGCCAACAAAGGTCCATCTAGTTAAAGCTATGGTTTTTCCAGTAGTCAAGTATGGATGTGAGAGTTGGACTACCAAGAAAGCTGAGCACCAAACAACTGACTCTTTTGAACTGTGGTGTTGGAGAAGACTCTTGAGAGTCCCTTGGATTGCAAGGAGATCCAACCAGTCAGTACTAAAGGAAATGAAACTCCAATACTTTGGCTACCTGATGTGAAGGACTGACTCATTGAAAAAGACCCTGATGCTGGGAAAGACTGAAGGCAGGAGAAGAGGACGACAGAGGATGAGAGGTTGGGTGGCATCGCCGACTAGATGGATATGAATTTGAGCAAGCTCTGGGAGTTGGTGATGGACAGGGAGGCCTGGTGTGCTGCAGCCCATGGGGTCACCAAGAGTCAGACATGACTGAGTGACTGAACTGTCTGAGCAAGGCCTTTTTTGTCCTTCCATGGATAGCCCCCAAGTCCACATTTGTGAGTGTGTGTGTGTTAGTCACTCAGTTGTGTCCAACTCTTTGTGACCCCATAGACTGTAGCTTGCCAGGCTTCTCTGTCCATGGAATTCTCCAGGCAAGAATACTGGAGTGGGTTGCCATTTCCTTCTCCATGGGTTCTTCTCAACCCAGGGATTAAACCTGTATCTTTCATACTGCAGGCAGATCTTTACCATCTGAGTCACCAGGGAAGCCCAGACCCAAGTTTACCCACCCCCAGTCACATAGACCTCTATGGAGCAGCTGAGCTTCCCTGTGGCTCACCCGGTAAAGAGTCTGCCTACAATGTGGGAGACCTGGGTTCCATCCCTGGGAGGGGACGATCCCCTGGAGGGGGGCACGGCAACCCATTGCAGTATTTTTGCCTGGAGAATCCCCATGGAGAGAGATGCCTGGTGGGCTACAGTCCATCGGGTTGCAAAGAGTTGAACATGACTGAGCGTGGGTCAGGAAGTAAGAAATTAATAGGTACCAAAAAGAGAGACTTTTCTGGCAGTCAAGTGGTTAAGATTCCGCTGTCTCATTGCAGGGGACACAGATTCATTGGAAACCTGGTTGAGGAACTAAGACCCCGCATGCCGCATGGCACAGCCAAAAAGAAAAAAAAAAAGGCCAAAAGGGAGGTACCGAGTATGTCCGAAAGGTGATGCTGTTGTGCAGGAAACTGGTCTCCTCTGAGCAATCACAGCCATCGAATCCACATTTTCCCATTTCCCTTTCTCTTCGTGGAAGCTTATGGGGTTTCTTCTGGGTTGTCTAGAGGATTCAGGAATCAACTCTGTACACATAGCAGTCCCTGAATGAGTGAATCCCCTCTGACAATTATGGGCATTCACAGTACAAACCTGTACAAACTTCGGTACTAATTACACTTCCAGCAGTGGCAGCCCCAAAAACAGTACATTGAGTCGACCTCAAAAGATCCACCTGTGGGGCTTCCCAGGTGGCATTAGTAGTAAAGAACCCTCCTGCCAATGCAGGAGACTTAAGAGATGCAGGTTGGATCCCTGGGTTGGAAAGATCCTCTGGAGAAGGGCTTGGCAACCCACTCCAGTATTCTTGCCTGGATAATCCCATGGATGGCTACAGTCCATAGGGTCGTAAAGAGTCCGACACGGCTGAAGGGGCTTAGCATAGCTCGCATGACCCACCTGTAGGGTCAATTTAATTTCCTGTCCCCACTTCAAACTTCGCTCATAGCCCATCAGTTGGGTGATTTTTTTTTTCTTGTATCTTCATTGAGATATATTAATAATTGATGTTTGGTGCTGTATAAGTTTAAGGTGTAAGGCAGACATCGTGAAATGATTATCACATCATCTCATAGAGATGCAAAATTAAAGAAGTAGAAAATTTTTTCCTTGTGATGAGAATTCTTAGAATTTATTCTCTTTCATATATAACATATTATAGTGTTAGTTATATTTAATGTGTATACATCCTGAGTACTTATTTACCTTACTGCTGGAAGTTTGTACATTTTGATCACTGTCATGCAATTTGCCTTCTATCCACCCCCTCATGACCACAAATTTGATCTCTATTTCTATGAATTTGTTTTGTTTTTGAAGTATAATTGACCTATAACACTGTTAGTTCCTGTTATACAACAAAGTGATTTGATATTTTTAAATTTAAAAATGACCACAAATAAAAGTCTAGTTACAGTATGTAACCTTGTAAGGATATCACAGAGGTTTTCTTTTTGGAATCTTTGGAAGTTTTCATTTGTTCTGGCAATGAATGTAACATGGCATAAGGACTTAGGCCCTCAAGCTAGGCAAGACATTATTATGGCTGTTGGAAGAAGCACCATGGCAGCTGGCAGGAGGCAGTAAAATGGACTCTTGTTGGGAAAGGACTGAGCTACACAGATGAGCCAAGGAAAGGTTTTAGGTGGCAGGGCCCAAGCAAAAAGGAGGTTGAGGATGGACTGCCCTAGCCTTAACCTAGTGCTTTAAAAAGAAAAAATACCCTTCCCTTCAGTCACTAGGGAGCTGTCCGAAGGGAGGGAGGATTCCCTGGTGGCTCAGGTGATAAAGAGTCTGCCTGCAATGTGGGAGACCCAGGTTCAATCCCTGGGTTGGGAAGATCACCTGGAGAAGGAAATGGCAACCCACTCTAGTACTCTTGCCTGGAAAATCCCATGGATGGAGGAACCTGGCAGGTTGCAGTCCATGGGGTCGCAATGAGTTGGACACGACTGAGTGACTTCACTTTCTTTTCCTTTCTGAGGGGAGGGGATCTTATTACTTGCCCCTCCATGGACGTATAGGACCTGAGAGCAGTGGAGAAGAATGGAACGAGGCTGATAGAGCCAGAGTGGGAAGAAATCACACAGTTCCCCGGGTGGATGAGTCAAAACCTGGGCTTGGACTTCAGTCCCCCGTGGTCAGAATAGCATCTTTTCCTTCTGAAGAAGTCAGGTCACTTGAGCTCTCAGGACCGGAAATATCAGCTCTTTGGCCCCTCTTGATCCCTGGTTGTTGGGATTCTCTTGTGTCTCAAAAGCCTCGCAGCAATGAAGTCTCTCTCCAGGAATTTCTTTCCTAGTCAGCAAGCAGCCGGCTCTCCTGGCAGAAATGTCCTTTCTGCTCTATCTGCCCCCCAGGAGGGTGGGAATGTGGCCAACCCTCCGGAAGGGTCCCAGAGGCTCACATGGCCCCAGATGGAGAATGTGTACCTTCTTCACAGGCTTAGCACTCCCAGTCGTCCACCTCCAGCTCCTCCGGCTCTACCAGGCCAAAGATTCCACTGTGATCCGGAGACTAGCGGCCTTCAGAACTGGTTTTGGGGGTGACAGGATGAAGAAACTTAGGCAAAGCCTCTGAGGCATGTCACTTGATCTGCTTAAAGGAAGAACTGTTCGTGAGGGAGCTGGCCCTTGGTCTCATATCCGGGTTGCACTGAATGCACTGCTGCACAAAGTGGAGGAGATGGGGTGAGAAGTTGTGGTGATGAGGGTGGGATGGCGAGTCGCCACTGGAGGTCCCGGGAGTGCTGGTGGCCAGGTTGTCACTCAGGCCATAATCGGCTGCTGAGTACGAGGTGCTCACGGTCAGCTCCTCAGGGAGGTCGGTGGTGGCGTCCAGCAGGCAGGGCACTGTGCTATTCAGCTTCTCCAGCAGCATCTAGGTGGCGGGCATATCTTTAAAGGGGACGTGGCCATCAGCCACTTCACAGGCCGTGATTCTCACACTGCAATGTCAAATTTGGCATCATAAACCTGAAGATTCTGCCAGAGGACTTACGAGCTGAGCCAAGGCAGAACCTTGATTCACTACCTGAGAAAGTACTGTGCTGCTACTGTCGGCGACTGATCGTGCTGAGTTGCTGTGTAAGATCAGAATGTAAGTAGCTGGTTTTGACTCTCCTGTGCACGCATCCCATGTGGTGGGTGCAACCCCTGCAGCCTGTAAGCAATTGCCAATTCATTCATGCCCTCCATGAACTGTGTATAGATGAGGTCCTTTGCAGAGCCATATGCTGTGAATGGTGTGACAACCCACAGCTCATTATCTGCAATAAAAGTGGCTTGATATGGCAGGGTATCAGGATGGCTGAAGAACTTAGAGACATGGAGCTCCCCTTGCAAGAATATCGCGATCTCATTGTAACGAGCTTCTAGGTTGATCCTTCGTACAGTCACATACTCTCCCATTGATTTGTACTTTGTTAGATTCAGTTATCAGGTCCTCAAATCCCTTGCCTGTAACAATGAGGAGTTCATAACACCCTCCCTCCGGCAGAAAGTTACTTATGATCTCCTGTTTAGAAAAGGATGTTATCGACTCTGAACTCACCATATTGGTCTGCAATGGTTCCAAATCTCTTAGGCCCTCAACAATGAACTTTTCAGAAACCTAGCGCCTAATTCTATTTACTTACAAGAAAATACCTAACATGTAGACCTACTTTAATTTCAAAAATTTAAACCCAGTCTCAGCTCTGCCTCCTTGGCTTAAGGTTGCACCTCTGTCAGGCCTATTTCTGGGAGGCCAGAGTTATTGACTATATCTTCCATACTGTACATTTCACATCCCTGACTCATTTATTTTGCAACTGGAAATCTGTACCTCTTAATCTCCTTTACTTATTTCTTTTCTGCCTCCTCCCCTCTCCCCTCTGGCAACCACTTGTTTGTTCTGTGTATCTGTAACTCTGTTTCTGTTTTGTTATGTTTGTTCATTTTATTTTTTAGATTCCACATTTAAGGGAATGCATAGAGTATTTGTCTTTCTCTGTCTGACATTTCACTTTAGCATAATACCCTCTAGGTTTATACGTGTTGTTGCAAATTGCAAGATTTCATTCTTTTTATGGCTGAATAATATTCTATTTCTTACATATACCACATCTTCTTTATCCATTCATCTATTAGTGGAATCTTAGATTGTTTCCACATCTTGGCTATTGTAAATAATTCTATAATGTACATAAGGGAACATATGTCTTTTTGAACTAGTGTTTTTGTTCCTTTCAGATAAATACTCAGGATGGAATTACTAGTTTATATGGTTTTTGTTGTTCAGTTATTCAGTCACTCAGTCATGTCTGATTCTTTGTGATCCCATGGACTGCAGCATATCAGGCTTCCCTGTCCTTCACTGTTTCTTGGAGTTTGCTCAAACTCATGTTCATTGAGTCAGTGATGCCACCCAACCATCTCATCCTCTGCCATCCCCTTCTCCTCCTTCCTTCAATCTTTCCCAACATCAGGGTCTTTTCTAATGAGCTGGCTCTTTGCATCAGGTGGCCAAAGTATTGGAGCTTCAGCTTTAGCATCAGTCTTTCCGATGAGTATTCAGGGTTGATTTCCTTTAGGATTAACTGGTTTGATCTCTCTGCAGTCCAAGGGAATCTCAAGAGTCTTCTCCAACATCACAGTTCAAAAGTATCAGTTCTTCAGCACTTAACCTTCTTTATGGTTCAACTCTCACACAATTTATATGGTAGTTCTATTTTTAATTTTTTTAAGGATCTCTGTACTGTTTCCATAGTGGTTACATCAATTTATATTCCCAACAACAGTGTACAAGGGTTCCTTTTTCTCCACAACCTTGCCAACAAGGTTATTTGTTGTCTTTTCTATAGAAGCCATTCTGATGGGTGTGAGGTGATATCTCACTGTGGTTTTGAATTGCATTTCTCTGATGATTAAGTGATGTTGAGCAAATATTCTCTCCTATCCAGTAGGTGACCTTTTTGTTTTGTTGACATTTTCCTTCTCTGTGCAAAAGTTTCTTAGTTTGATGTAGTCCTAAATGTTTGTTTCTGCTTTTGTTTCCCTCACCTTGTTGTAGGAAGGGGGACCCCCTTCCAGGGCCTGAAGTTGGGCTCTTGTCTAACACTCGGAAAAGAATTGTCCGAGGAGACATGTGCTGACAAAGCAAGAGATTTTATTGGGAAAGGGCATCCAGGTGGAGAGCAGTAGGTAAGGGAACCCAGGAGAACTGCTCTGCCACGTGGCTCGCAGTCTTGGGTTTTATGGTGATGGGATTAGTTTCTGGGTGGTCTTTGGCCACTCATTCTAATTCAGAGTCTTTCCTGGTGGCGCACGCATCGCTCAGCCAAGATGGATGCTAGCAAGAGGGATACTGGGAAGTGGACGGACAGGTAGTGTCTCCTCTCGACCTTTCCTGAACTCTTCCGGCTGGTGGTGGCTTATTAGTTCCGTATTCCTTATCAGGATCTCTTGCCATAAAACAACTCATGCAAATGGTTACTATGGTGCCTGGCCAGGGTGGGCGGTTTCAATCAGTGTGCTTCCCCTAACAACCTGAGGAAAAATATCCCCCCAAATATTAGTATGGCCTATGTCAAACAGTGTACTGCCCACATTTCCTTCTAGAAGTTTTATGGTTTCAGGTCTTATGTATTTAAGTCTTTAATCCATTTTGAATTTATCTTTGTGCATGGTGTGAGAGAGTAGTCCTGTTTGACTCTTTTGCATGTAGCTGTCCATTTTTCTCATACCATTTATTGAAGAGTCTTCCTCCATTGTATATTTTTATTTCTTTTGTGGTAGATTAATTGCTCATATAAGTGTGGGTTCGTTTCTGGGCTCTCTACTCTGTTCCATTGATCAGAATCTCTGTTTTTGTGCTGGTCTCAAACTATTTTGATGACACTAGCTTTTCTTTCTCAGGATTTTGGCTACCTGGGATCTTTTGTGTTTCCATGAAGACTTTAGAATTATTTTTTCTAATTCTGTGAAAAGTGTCATTGGTATTTTGTCAGGTATTGCACTGCATCTGTAGATTGTGCTGGGTAGTATGGTCATTTTAACAATATTAATTCTTTCAATACATAAACATGGTATATCTTTCTATCCATTTGTCTTATCTTCAGTTTCTTTCATCAGTGATTTATAGTTTTCTGAGAACAAGTCTTTTACCTCCTTAGTTAGGTATATGCCTAGGTATTTTATTCTTTTGGATGCAATTGTAAATAGGCTTATTTTTTCTTTTCTCTCCTTCTGAGTGTTCATTGTTAGTGTATAGAAATGCAATAAGGACTTCCTTGGTGGTTCATTGGCTAAGAATCTGCCTGACAATGCAGGGTTTGATTCCTTGTTTGGGAAGATCCCACAAGCGTAGGAGCAACTAATCCTATGTGCCACAACTACTGAGCCTACGCTCTAGAGCCTGCACTTCCCAACAAGAGAAGCCACCACAATGAGAAGCCTGAACACCACAACTAGAGAGTAGGCCCCACTCACCACAACTAGAGAAAACTTGTGCACAGCAACAACCAAAAATAAAAATAATAAAACAAATTAATTTTTAAAAATTTAAAAAAGAAATGCAACAGATATTTTCACCTTATGGGAAAACAGACTAAGGAATTTAGTATGTATGGGCCAGGAGCTATCACAACAGCTTTAGGAGATCATGGTATTCCTGAAGGGAGAGCAGGAAGTGCTAGGTGGTAGGGGATGCTAGCTCATGGCAGGAGGCTGGGCAGCTGGAAGACTTTCATTTTCTCTTGCCTCTGATTTCAGAGTTGATGTGCCACTGCCTCCTTCTTCATGAATCTCCAGCATCAGTCCAGAGAGAACCCAAGCCCAGGACCATTTTGCCCCTACTTCACATTGCATCCCTTGGTGACTTCACCTCTGCCTGCATTCATCCACAGGACAGGGTAAGACTGTGACATGGACATTGAGTCCTACAGAGCTGTAAGCATTTGATGTCCTCAGTTCCATGAAGTTCTCAGCATACTTCGCTTTTTCATCAAAGCAGCTGAGTGTGGTGTGTGGATGGGACTGAGGGATGGGGAACACAGCATCAAAGGGCAGATCTATGCCAGTAAGCAAAGATTTTTGTTCACTTTGGATTTGAATGCCATCTGTGGGGCTCAATCAAATAAACTTGTTATGTTTTTGGCTCATCTAAAGCTCTGTTCCAAACATCCTAGCCGATACCATTTATTTCAGATACTGGGACCCTTTGATTCAGCAGCCTCATCCACACTGACCTTTGGGTGGGGCTGTGCAGCTTTCTGCCCCATTGTCATAATATCCCTCCTCCTCCTGCATGGGGTTAGAGTGAGCAGGAACCAAAGCACCATTCAGGTGGCTTTTTTCAATCCTGCCTCTCACTGCTTAGCCCCATTAATAGGTAGGACAATGTGAGACCCTCACTCTAGCCATCCTCATTCTGCTCACCATTTGAGTGAGAGGATTCACTAACAGGTGCTAGCGAGTCTTTGCATATACCCTGATATGGTCCACAGTGTCCTTGTCCTTCCTCTCCCACAAGCCGTACCCCTGTCAGCACCCTATCCTCATTGCCAAAACTGTCAGGGTCTGGCATTTGAATTTACCCTGCAGATAAGTCAATAATTAGCCTCTTACTGTTTCAAAGATGCTGGCCAAGAAACGATTCTAAGGACAGAGACAAAGGACTCTATTACTCACAGCAAGCAGCATAGGCATAATGTTTACATTGGCTCCCTTGCCCCTCAAGTCCCACAGGGGCAACATGAAGGTCCCAAGCAGATGCTGTGCATACAATGGGTTTATGTCGCATCTGAGGAACACCGAACTTGGAGAACCCACTTGCTTTATAGCAGGAAATAAGTAAGACTGCTTTTTGTCCTAGAGGGAGGTGTTAGCTCGTCCTTCATT